TTGCCTTCTAGAGTGTTAAAAAAAGAATAATATTGTTCAATTTCCTGAAGGAGTTGAGTGCACAGAGATTGCCATCTGATAAGCTCAGTTTCCTGGTAATATGGTGATTTATGAGAGGTCGGGGGCATACATTGTTTTAAATGTGTGCCATCTAGTGGATGAATGGCTCAACAACAGCCTAAACCAAAGCTAAAGTCAGTAGGAAATTCCATCAGCCCATTCCATCTTAATCTCTCTAAGATCGATCAAGTCAGTAATTCAGACACAGAAGAAGTTGAGGGAGACAGGAAAATGGAAGTTCAAAGAGGAAGTGAAGCTATGGAGGAAAGTGAGAAGGAAAATATGATGGAATCACTCAAGAAAATATTGGAAGAAACATAATCAACTAAGAGAACTTAAAGCTCTGAATGCAGAGTGAGAGCATAGAATCCAAAATATTTTTCTCATATTTGAATTAAAAATCTTCTGGAGAAAGTTGTATCAGAATAAAAAGGAAAATGATATTATTGAGTAGATGAAAGAAATGATTCCTAATATAAAATGGAATCAAGAGGATTTTAGAAAGATATATAGAGTTAGTTCTAAGTGAGGAGCTCGAATGTTTCAATAAATGTTCTGGTCAGATTCTTGAATTATTAAAAGAAGGAAAGAATTTATGACTGAGAGAAAATATCAATCAATTTAAATTCAAAGGAGCTCCTATTCAGGTCTGCCAAAATCTCTAGAGCCATTTCAGTCTGGCTTTAGACCTGGTTATGGACAGAAACTGCCTTGGTTGCCCTGCATAAAGACCTATTCAGGGAGAGGGGCAGGGGAGTCGGTCCCTGTTGGTTCTCCTGGACTTCTCAGCAGCTTTCGATACCATCAACCATGGTATCCTTCTGGATAGGCTGGCTGAGTTGGGTGTTGGAGGCACTGCTCGAAGGTGGTTCCACTCCTACTTGGCTGACCGTTTCCAGAAGGTGGTGCTGGGGGATTGTGGCTCTGCACCATGGCAACTTTGCCTTGGAGTTCCGCAGGGTTCCATTTTATCTCCCATACTATTTAATATCTACATGAAACCACTGGGAGAGGTCATCCAGAGGTTTGGGTAGCGGAGTCACCAGTATGCTGATGACACCCAGCTCTACCTCTCTTTTGCATTGAATCCAGGTGAGGCAGTAGAGGTCCTGAACCGGTGCCTAGCTGAAGTGCTGGGCTGGATGAGGGCCAATAAATTGAAGCTCAATCCAGACAAGACAGAGGTCCTGCTGGTAGGTGTTTTAGCCTCCCAGGTAGGTGTTTCTAACCAAACCCTGTTCTGGATGGGGTTGCACTCCCCCTAAATGACAGGGTATGTAATTTGGGAGTGCTCCTCGACCCGAAGCTGCCTCTGGAATCCCAGCTGGTGGAGGTGGTGAGAAGCACTTTCCTTCATCTTCAGCAGATCTATCAACTGTGCTCCTATTTGGATGGTCAGTACCAGGCAGCAGTGACCCATGCCCTGGTAGCTTCCCAATTGGACTACTGTAATGCTCTACATGGGGCTGCCCTTGAAGACAGTTCAGATACTTCAACTAGTCCAGAATAGAGCCACCAGGTTGTTAACAGGAACTGACAGGTATGGACATATAGCACTGGCCCTTTTCCACCTACACTGGCTACCAGTTGAAGTCCAGGCCCAATTTAATGTGCTGGTGATGACCTATAAAGCCCTAAATGGCTTAGGGTCTGGTTACCTGAAGGAGCATCTCCTTCCATATATGCCTGCCTGCCCCTTAAGATCTGGAGCAGACACCTTTAATCAGCTGCCCTCCTAGAAGGAGATTAGGGAGGTGGCTACCGGGGAAGGGCCTTCTCTATAGTGGTACCCCAATTGTGGAATTCATTCCTCAGAGAGGTTTGCCTGGCACTGGCACTTTAATCTTTTTGGCACAAAGTCAAAACATTTTATTTTCCCAATATTTTCTGACTGTTTTAATTGGGGTTTTAGTATTAGTTGAATTTTTAGGAAGCTGTGTTTTAAATTTTTTACATTTTGTATTGTTAAACCATCCCTAGACTTTGGTAATGGAATGGTCTGGAAAAGTTTTAAATAAGTAAATAAATAGAAATTATATCAAAGAAAAGGTTGAAAGCAGGTTTAATACCATTAGATATTTTTAAAGCTTTTGACTGTATGGAATGGTCAGGGAGAAAGCTGCTGATACAGGCAGTAGGAGTTGGTCTATGATTCATAAGACTAATAAATCAATTATACTCAGAATATTTTGCAACAGTGATAGTTAATGATGGTTTAACAGAAAGAATATCCTTAGGCTGAGGCACTAGACAGGGATGTTCTCTTTCACTGACATTGTTTGCTTCAGTCATAGAATTATTAGCAAATAGTATAAGAAACAATGATTCAATAGAAGGTATCATCATTAAACACAAAATCAAGATTAACCTATGTGCTGATGATGCCTTGCTAATAATTGAAGACTATTCAAAGTTGTGGATCAGATTAAAAATCATTTGGTAGAATTTGATGAGATAACAGGGTTACAGGTAAATTGGGAAAAATCAAGGATAATGCTGTTTAATTGCAATAGAGAAGAAAAGGAGGGAATTTAGAATAAATTTTAGAATATGTGATATTATTAAATACTTAGATATTAATATTTCAAAATACACAATGTTTGAAAAAGAATGATTTTGATATATTAAAATTGGAAATAAAGAAGAAATTGCAGCAATTTAGGAAAATTGGGTTATCATGGTTGGGGAGAATAGCAGATGTTAAAATGAAAATTTTACCTAAGATTAATGTTTATTTGGGCTGTTTTCAATTAGGTTGTTAGGGAAAGGGTTGACATATTGGTAAAATATGATTAATAAATTCTGTAGTGGAGATAAGAAAGCAAGAATTATTAAGAAAAGATGGTATAAGTCACAAAAAGAGGGAGGATAGCGTATCCCAAATATTAAATTATATTAAGAAGCACATTAGTTAAGATGTATACCAAATATTATTTTGCAGCCAGACAAGATAATAGGGGCAGAAATAGAACAACAGAAAATTGGAGGATCTTTTTACAAAAATCAAACAAGATGATTAGAGTGTAAAAAGGATAGAAAACCCCTTTTTCAAAAATTTGATACAAATTTGGGGAGAAGCATGGAGAAGAATTCAAGCCAGTCACCTCACCAATAACTCCAGTTCCAGAGATTAGAGGATTTCCAGAAAATTTGAGAGATCATTTTAAAAAAGTATGAAAAGAAAAACAAATATTTAGGGTAAACGATTAGGAGGATAAAATGGATAATAAGAAAAGGATAAAGGCATTATTTGGAAAAGAAAAAATATTTTATATGGATAATAAATATTCTGATTTATGTTGGAGATGTGGACAAAGGATGGGTACCTATTGCCATATGCAATGGGAATGTGAAAAGAATAAATGAATAATGACTTTGATAAAGATTTTTAAAGAGAATAAAGTGAAAAAATGAAGTGCATTCTGAAATGGCACTGTTGCTTACTTTTTCTGAAAAGAAATGGAAATGGAGTATTAAAGAATTAATAATACATTTGGAATCCACAGGGATCTCCAATTAATTGAATGGTATAAAGAAGTTTGGAATATAGCAGTTAATGATAAGCTGACATGTGAGCTAAACATGAAACAAGGACTGGTAAAGAAGATTTTAATAATATATGTGGTATGTTTATTGAATATGTATTAATAAAAGAGGGGGGTAATAAACCCTCAAAGGATGTATTGCAAATTTGGATGGAAGGGGGTATCTTGGAAAGAGTGGATAAATGAAGGGAAAAAAATACCTGGCAGCCATAGTCCCGATGGAGGAGTGCACTAAGGGTGATCTTTGGTTTTTTATATTCCATTTTGTTTATTGAGTTGTTTTTTATTCCTATTATATGATTTTTGTATTTGTTTACTCATTATTTTTTAAGCAATCCAAGACTCCACATTTTTAGGCTTTCTGTTTACTCAGAGATGGTCTGAAGTGAGATACAGTGCACAAATCTTTCTGTAATGCTAAGTTCTTCCTATGCCATTGAACAGGTGCCACCTCCTTCTCTCTGCAATGACATCTGCCATCCTGGGTACAGCAAGAAGAAGATTGAGGGGAACAAATTTTGTTGCTATGACTGTGCCCAGTGTCCTGATGGGATGTTCTCAAACCAGGAGGGTATGAAAAGAAACTTTTATTATTAAATGGATAAAACATCCAAAAGGATATATTTCATTTAAACAAAATGAAAGCCTTCTTGAGTCTCTCTTGAAAGATTGGCTCGTGATGAGGTTAACCAAGGCATTAGATATTGCTACCATTACTTGTTTAATTTATAGATATGATATTCTTGATATCACCAAGAATGCCAGGAACAAGATTGCTCCCAAAACTGAGCAGCAAGTAGATACTTTCTGAATTTAAAAAATACTCAAGACATTTCTGCAGGGTTTTTTAATCATGCTCAGTTAAAGCAAAGAAGGAGAAGCAAAGACACTTTTAAAGCAGTGTACTAATTAGGCAACACAAGGGTGGAATGTGCAAAACAGTGAGCATGGGTGAGATCAAGAAGCATCAAGAATGCAACCATTAGAAAGTGTTGTGCAAAAGATAACTGTTTTGGATCTTTTTACATGTCTACATGATTAATCATTTTTAGACGTGGAAAAATGCATGAATTGTCCAGGAAGTCACCATCCCAACAAAGTCCAGGATCAATGCACACCAAAAGTGCCGAACGTCTTAGCCTTTAAAGAAACATTGGCCATCATCTCAGTATCTTCTGCAGTTCTGTTGTCTCTGCTCACAGTCCTGGTGCTTGGCATCTTCATTAAGCATCAAGACACTGCCATCGTCAAAGCAAACAACCAGAGCCTCACCTACATTCTCCTCATCTCACTCCTCTTCTGTTTCCTCTGCTCCTTGCTTTTCATCGGGAAGCCTAACACTGTGTTCTGCCTTCTGCGACAAACCGCGTTTGGCATGGTCTTCTCTGTGTGCCTCTCCACCATCCTGGCAAAAACTGTATCTGTGGTGCTGGCATTCATGGCTACCAAACCAGGATCCCAGATGAGGAAGTGGGTGGGGAAAAAACAGGCCTATGGCATTGTCTTCTCCTGCTCCAGCATTCAAGCGGGCATCTGTGCTCTCTGGCTCATGACTTCTCCCCCATTCCCAGATCTGGACATGCACTCCATGCCTACAGAAATTATCCTGCTCTGCAATGAGGGCTCAGTCCTCATGTTCTATTGTGTCTTGGGCTACATGGGGCTGCTGGCTGGAGTCAGCTTTGCAGTGGCCTTCCCGGCCAGGAAGTTGCCTGACAGCTTCAATGAGGCCAAGTTCATCACCTTCAGCATGCTGGTCTTCTGCAGCGTCTGGGTCTCCTTTGTTCCCACCTACCTCAGCACAAGAGGAAAGTCCATGGTGGCCGTGGAGATCTTCTCCATCCTGGCCTCCAGTGCTGGCTTACTGTGCTGCATATTCTTCTCCAAATGCTACATTATTGTGCTGAGGCCTGAGCTCAACAAAAGAGAGCAGGTCATGCGAAGAAAGATGTAAACACTGATCTTTTGGGGATTGTACAGGAACAAAAATCATGGGCATGTGCTGCCCACAAGTAGCTCTCGCTTGGTGATGTCTACCATTCTGCTTGTTCCCCTCAAACAGACGCATAAAGGGACAGAATTTAACCAATACATGTGGTCAGCAAGTCTCTGGACATCAACATACCATTCTGTTTTTCAGCTATGTACATCCTTTCTATGTTATATACCTTTCACCATGTTCACCATGGGGAGGGAAGGGGGAATCCAGCAATCCCAGCCTGGGCCAAAATGTTTCCTCTCCAGAACTACAGGACTTCTGCAGTACATCCATTCCTAAAATGGCAGGCACCCAATTTGCAAGGGTTAGACAACCAGAAGGGCTGATTCTCCAATATTTGTAACATTGTCAGAGATCAAAAGAAAAATTTCCTTGGGAAGTATGAAAGCTCAGTCTATGAAAAAAAAGCATTTTCTCAGAAATCAAAGGAAGGTTTTAATCCAAGGCTCTTCTTTGAAAAGTGGGGCTGAAAGCACCCCATGGATGAGGTTGTCATGAATTAAACAAGAGTGCATGATTGGCACTGTGACCACTACTGCCATGTTTGCATTTGATTGTGCAGACATGATGAGTTTAGAGCATGGAGCATTCTTGGGTCAATGGTAACTGCCTAACTTCTCATTAGATACCACCCCGAAATCATTCAAATCCCACAAAGTTTCTGCCCCACTACTGACAAGCAGAAAAGGCTGCCCTTTGGCAAACATGTTTGTTGCTTCTCTGGTTGTCTGGGAGTTGGAATTACACATAGTAACCAGTGCGATTATCTTCATCAATTCCAGTCAGAAGCACTATCATTAAGGCAGGAGGCTAAATCTCCAGTGCCTTCTAGGAAAACTCTAGGGACAAAGGTCGACCTCCAGAGGTGTAGGTGAATATTGAAAGCACATATGCATAGCATGCTACCCACAAATAACCTCACAGGCCAGAAATCAATGGACCTCTGAAATGCCACACACGTTCTCCCTGCCTGATATAGCTTGGCTTCATATCAAAGAGTTCCTCTTGGCATGCAAGAAGGCGCCAAGCAGCATTGGAGAGAAAACATTTGCACCTTCAGTGCTGCATTGGCAGAGGCAGCAGCCCCCTGAACTCAGCTTGGATGTATACAAATGAGCATAGTGATAACACTTTGGAGAGTGATATGGAAGAAGGGAAGGCAAGAAGGAAGTTCACCAGGGAGAAGATGATGACTGTGGCCCTGGTGGGACTGCTTCACCCACACATGGCAATGAGGACACAGACAATGAAGTGCACTGGAAGTGTTCCCCTTCCCATTCCATAAGAGTGGCACCAGGTAGGCGAGCTCCTTGTTGGGGGGATGGAGTTACACGTTCATTACATCTTCCCCTACATTGTCTTCAACAAGCACCCTTTTCAGGATTCGATAAACATCCCATTGTAAGGAATCTTGTAAGGAGAACCTCAACTGTAGTTTCTTTGGAAGACATTTTTTCTATGCAGACAATGCTTGGAGTGCTGGATAAGAACTTTGGGGAGTCCGGTCCCAGTTCACATTCAGGCAAGAAGTTCATGGGTGATTGGGCCATTCACCCAGTCACCCTTCCTCAGTTTTCTTAGGAAGTCATCCTTACTTTTGCTGTATGTGTTTAGTTCTTCTGTTATCCCAATATCATCTTCCCTCTTCTACTCCCTTAAATGACCCATTAAGAACTAAACCAGTTTTAGAGGACTTATTCATTCCAGTACGCCTACATCACCTTTTATCAGACTTCTTCCACATCCTGGATGATTTGTGATAGCAGCATATATTTGATGGAATGGCAGGAAAACCAGGGTGGCATAATGGCAAGGGCATTGGATGTATCCCTTGGAGTTGAGAGTTTCTCCACTTTCTAGTCACCTGTGAAGCTTGCTGGACAGCCTAGGGCTGATCGCTGCACTAAGCCCAATAAAAGTCCCTGGTTCTTGTGCAGATTCCCTGTGTTCATTGATCACCTTTTATCTAACTTCTCTGACTTGCTAGAAGAGTTGTTGTTGTTGTTGTTGTTATTATTATTATTATTATTATTATTATTATTATTATTAT